GCACGTGCGGCCTGAGTGAAGAACGCGTCATCGTCATCCTCCTCCTGCAAGCCCGCCTCTACTAGAGCGATGAGCTCGCTCAGTCTGCCAGTGTCATCCTCAGCCTCCTCCGCCTGCAAGCCCGCCTCTGCTAGAGCGATGAGCTCGCTCAGTCTGTCAGTGTCATCCTCAGCCTCCTTCACCTTTAAGCCCACCTCAGCAAGAGCGATGAGATCGCTCAACCTGGCAGTGTCGTCCTCAGCCTCCTCCCCCTCATCAGACAACATAATCAGTGATTGAACGATGCGACCAGCTCGCGTTCTATGCTCATCTAACTTCTTTTCCTCAAACCTTGCATGGGCCACCTCTGCGGCATGGTTCTCGCTGCATCCAATCCCTTCATGTATAAATGCAACCAGTTAGCAACGCGATTATATTACATTTAAAATCAGGCAACGAAAATAAAAAGGCTTTCAAGCACTCACTGTCACATAATGCAACAACATGGTCGTTCAAGACCTGCATCTATACTCTTGCCTCCTCCCTTGCCCTCTCCTCTAACGCCCTCCGTCTCTCCAATCCCCATTTGTCAAGCCCAACATCGATCGGGTTACGAATACCGCGCTGTCTAGCAAACTCACGTATCTTGTTTTTGTGATGTTTAACGAATAGGTTAACGTAGTCAGGTCCATATCCTCTCTTTCGTGCAATTACTTGCCTCCCCTTCGGTTCATCCAAGAACTTAGCTTGACCATCATAACATTTCCACCAGCATTTCCTAGTGCTCTGTTCAAACGAAAAATTATATCATATATGTCTTAGCAAAAGAAACAAAATACGATTTCATGTTTACCACAAAAATAACCAACCTCATCATAGTCTACCATATGGCCACAATAATGGCCTATTCCAAGCTCCTAAGAGACTAGACCGTAGTTGGATTTAACACCACATTCGCACTTGACTGGAGGTGCTTTGTAAATTAACCTTTCTTTCTTATTTTCCTTTGCCTTTGGTGGCTCCGTCCATTGCTTCTTAGGACCGTAGAGCTACTCATTGAAACGACACTTCGCAAATCCATAACGCTACAAGAGAATACATTAGTACACACATATAGAGATAAACATTTAAACAGATACACTTTCCACTTACTTCGTGTTTGTTCGGACACTCAAACTCCAACGTATTCTCAGGGTTTATCACAGCTCGATCTCCGTATTCGAACAGAGGAGGTTCCTCGAGTCATCTAACTACGGCTAGGTGCTTCTCCTTAGCCGTCATTGGCGGGGGGGTTAGGGGGGTGGAACCCGCCGCTGGAAGTGCTCACGTGGATGTCTTCCTCTACACCAATCGTCGAAAAGAAGGTACCTAGGGTCAAACTTTTCTGCACCGTCGACCACTGAAAGAAAAAGCACCTCTCATGGTCCTACACAACAAGATTCCAACAAAATATTAGTAGCCTACTTACACAAATTAAGAAAAAAAGATAGTGAAAACAATTACTTACATTAAAATGACTGCATGTGTAGAAGCAACGTGCCACTATGTCTGGATGTCTCGATTGAAACACGTCGGCCGGGAAACCGCAGTCATAGTTAGGGACAGAGAGGTCACGAGGGATGGGGGTATCTTTGCTAGACGCGTCGGGGTATAATTCTCGAGGACGACCCCGTTTTCGCCAAAACTCCTCCTGATGCATTTCTTGCATCTAACAAAACGGTTGTAATTTAACAAACAAAAATCAAAACATCACAAATTAATGTCAATGAGAACCATTTGCATTACAACAAACAAAATATAACCTACACTTTGGTGCAAACTCTATCTTAGATGTAAACATGCAAATTACATAAAAACTATACTTTGGTCACTAAAAAATAAAATTTGGTACATCAACATTGTGTCCATATATTTATTCACATATAAAAGTTGAGATGCAAACTCAAACAAGCAAAATACATGGTAATCATAATTAATTCTAACTAACCAATTAACCTTAACATTGACAATCCTAATCCTAATCCTTCAATCCAACGTTGTAACGAACTCATATTTTTCTCCATACCCTAACTATTCATTCAAATCCTTCGATCCACCATGGAGGCCGAGGAGAAGCTTCATTACCTTGACAAGGCCGAGGAGGAGCTTCGAAAAAGGTAGGGAGGGGAACGGCAAGGGAGGGAAATTTGGCGGCCGGCCGTGGGGGAGCCAGGAGGCAATGGCGCGGCGGTGCGGGCTGGGAGGCGCGACGGCGGAGGGTGGGCGGCATGGAGGCGGCTGCTGTGCGGCGTGGAGTGAAACAGAGAGGAAGGAAAGGGACTGGGCTGCGGGCATATATTTGGCTCTGCGCGCGCTCGACGGGTGGTGGCGTCACGGCCGCTACGATCGATCGGTGGCGGCAAGGCAAGGCACACGTCACCGGTCACCGCCCCCCGGTCACGCCGTTAGCACACACTCGCCGCGCGCCTTCATGCATGGCAGCAGAGTTGTTTCGCCTCGCCGTGCAAACAGGCGCGTCCAAAAGTGTTAGATTTAAAATAAATAAACAGTGTCAGTTTTAAAAATAGTTTTAAAAAGTGTTAAAAAATCTCGTTAGGCGTGGATGAGCGATTGTCACATCATGTGGGTCGCGCTATGGGCGATGTCGGTCGTGCGAGGGCTAGGTTCACCGCGCAGCCGTCGTCCGGTGGATCTGCAAGCTCCACCTTCGCGTGGATCTCCTGTCGTCCGGGGGTGTTCGTTTGAGCTACAGCGGTGGCTGCGTCTGCAGCCCACGAACTGACATCTACTGTAGCGATAGCTGCTGCAGCCACAGCAGCTGTTAAGCAGAAGCGAACGGGCATGGTAGGACGGCAGGACGGGGCAGCGCCAGGCACCAACTGCGGGCCACATCGTCCTAATATTTGGCAGTGTGGTCTGCGGTGGCGTGTTCGCCTCGTCGAGCCCTAAGGTTTTTTCTCTCCCAGCTCAACTAACATTTTACTGAATTCTTCTTTTGATAGTCATTACATTTGCCCTGTTCGCTTGGTTGATAAGGCATGGTTGAAAGTACTGTTGGCTGATTTGTTGCGAGAGAAAAATATTATTCGTTGTCTGAAAAAAGTACGGCTTATAAGCCAAGCGAAAAAGGTGATTACTCGGTATCCTAGTTTGAGTAGTTTCCACAGTCACGTTATCACTTGCTTTACTTGTGGAATCAAATAGATGTTAGAATCACAATTTGTTGGCGTTTACTTCAGTTGGTGCCTCCAGCACAAGTCGGCTAGTTGGAGGTTATACTGTTGGTCGGAGGTAGCCTTGTGACTAAGTTATTTTTCGCTCATCCAAGGTAATTCTGTTCGACAACAGATGCCATAGCGTTCTGTAAAGATCGTTTGTGATTGGTGATTTTAGCTAGTGCGATTTGTTGGCGAAGTTAAAAAGGGTGCTGTAAGTCTGTAACCATAGTTTTAATATATATTATATGCTGACAAAATATCTTTTTTTTAATTTCAATGGAGGAGTTCCCCACCTGATTTATATATATCGGTCCAAAACGACCCGTTATAAAGTTTTACAGAGATTTGTGTACTAACACCCCAGCCCAAGAGCAAGCGGTGGCACAGCCACAATTACACAAAAGGGGAGAAGAAACGACACCAAGGCGAACTCTTCGACGATGCCTCTAGGGAGGTAAATAACGTGCAGACGTAATCATTGTAAATGACGTGCGGACGTAATCATCGTCGGCCAGGAGCTTGGCAAGGCTTTCGCCCGATTCCTGTACCGAGGAGAACCGCATTGGCCAAGCCGACCGAGGAGAGGAGGCAGCAGGGCTTCTTCAGCGACGCCTTCAACAAGGAGTCCGCCCGACGGCGTCCGTCGTCGCTGGCCCAGCCAAGAGCTGAGCTGAGCTCGCCCAGAACCCTCGCCATCGCAATGCGGAGACGGCTCTCTGCCCTCCCCGACAAGAGGCGCAGGGGAAGGCACCCGCGGACATGCAGCCCCGCCGCCGGCTCACCCGCGGCCAAACCGCACGCGCCGCGCATGCACGCGAAGAAGAACGTCCAAGGTCACGCAGCCCCACCGCCGGCAAGCCCGCGGCCAAACCGCGCACCCGGGGCCCTGCACACGCACATGTAGAAGAGTCGCCAAACCGCAGAGCAGCTCCAGTAGACGGCCGTGCAGAGGCTCCGCCGCTCGGGAGCACCTGCAACGTTGAGGTCGCGCCAGGGGAGGTTGCACCAGCACGTGTCTGCGTCGGGTCGCGGAGCTCCGTGCTGGGTGGGGTCCGCCGACCACGGGGTGCAGCGGCCTCGCCGCGGCAGCACCCTAGGGCCCTGAACCACCATGCCAGTGCTCCACCGCTCGGAAGCTCCGCGACGGGGCCAGGGGCGCCAACACCAGCACGGGGCCGCGTCGGATAGCGGCGCACCGCGCTGGAGATCCCATCGACCAAGGAGGGCCGGCCGCCGGCGCGGCGGATCTGCGCCTAGAGAACCCCGAATCGCCCCACCGGCGAACCCAAGGTGCCGGAGACGATGCGGAAGAGGAAGGGGAGGCAGAGGAGTTGGGGTGGGAGGCTCGGTGGGGGAGGGGCGAGACCGTGTCCGCCAGCCCAGGCAACGCCGGATCCGGGGTGGATGGCGCCGGATCAAGGCGGAGGACACCGGATCTGCCCTTCGCCGGCCATGGAGCTCGCCGCCGGCCGACCATGTCACCGGGGGACAGAGGCATGGCAAGGAAAAGGAGGGAGGAGAGGGAAGCTGCTGCTACGGTGAAGCCTTGTTGGGCGCCACAGCTGGCCGCCGCCGACCACTAGCCGGAGGGCGGCGGCGGCGGCCTGGGGGTGGGTAGTCGGCGGGGGTTTCGGCTGGGGGCGGTGTCGCCCCCGAGTCGCCGTACGGACGACGCGGGGAGGACGATGCTCGAGTCCCCTTCAACTCCCTGCCCCCTACTCTGACAAAATATCTTTCAAGGGTTGTAGTTTGATAGCATTATAGCTATCTTTAAACAATAACACCAGTAATGTTGTTTCCACCTCATGCTAAACTGCTCTCATGCATAAAATCGTCCTTGATTTTCTTCAACTTGGCAACGACATCAGTCATAGTTATCCTTTCGTCAGGCATGTCACTTGTGCATACCAAACCCAACTCAAATATTGATCTGAGAGTGCTGTGTGAGATGCTTGGAGAAATGTCCGAAGGGTTGCTGGTGTGGTGAAAACCATATATTGTTTCATCTTGTTGTTGTAAATTACCATCAATAATACTGCTAATCGTTGATGGAAATGCTTGACGAACCCACTGCCTAAGGCTCAGATCCCCGACAAACATGGTATCTGTGGGCTTCTTCCCGGTGAATACCTCAAGCAGCATGATTCCAAAACTAAACACATCGCTTTTTCTGGATGCTTTTCCCATGGAGCCATACTCTGTTAAGGATTATTTTGAACAATAAGGATCAGTATAAACTTTTTTTTAAAAAAAAGGTATGGTACTACATAATAAATTCAGTCATGAATGGTTACTACCTGGTGCCATATATCCAATTGTTCCAGGCATGCTTGCAGAAATCACTGAGTTATTATCACCTAACAAGAGTTTTGCTATGCCAAAATCTGCCACGTGTGCCATCATATCATCATCAAATAACACATTGCTAGGCTTCAAGTCACAGTGCAAGATTACATCATGATATTGATGATGCAGATATTCTACTGCCATCGACACCTCTATCATGATGTCCAATCTCTTGAGGAATCTTAAGGGTGCCTTGTCTTCATTGTGCAGATGTGCATCCAAGCTACCATTAGGCATGTACTGAAGTAACAATGCTTTAAAGTCTAGGTTAGAACAAGTGCTGATTATCCTTATCAAGTTGCGATGCCGAACCATGCGCAGCACTCGGCACTCAGCATCAAAGCTCTTTGTAGCTTCTTCCAATTGTACGTTTAGAACTTTGATGGCAACCACCAAGCCATTGTTTAGCTGTCCCTTGAAAACTTTGCCAAAGCATCCTACTCCCAACAAATTTTCCTCACTGAAATTGTTAGTGGCATGAACAATCTCATGATAAGATATTAATCTGTATCTGACTGCATCAGTAATATTATTGGAACCTGTCAACGCTCCTGGGTTTTTATTTTTTCTTCTGATTGTTACATATAAGCAAATAACTATTGCTCCAAATGCTGCAAGAGCAGCAGGGAGTACAAATTTTAGTATCTTTCCATTTCTCGAGTGAGATCTGACCATACATGGCGAAAACCCTAGACGTGGAGCACCGCAAAGTGCATCATTCCCTAGCAAGGACTGTAAACTGATGTTTGAGAAAATACCTCCTTCTGGTATACGTCCTTGTAGCTTATTGAAGGAGAGGTTCAAATTGGTGAGGTATGTAAGATTGGCCAGGTACATTGGGATGTTTCCAGAGAGGTTATTGTAGGAAAGATCCAGTATTTCCAAGCTCGTTAACTTGCCAAAAGAATTTGGGATTGAATCTTGAAACAAGTTATGTGATAAATTGAGGTAGGTCAGCATCTGCAGTTGTCCGAATGATTCTGGAAGATCACCAATTAGCTGGTTGGCAGAGAGGTCTATTGTGTTAATTGCATTCATGCTTCCTATATCAGGTGTGAGTGTACCAATCAAGAGGTTGTTTGACAAATTGAGTCCGATAAGGTTGTCAATATGAAATAAAGTCGGTGGTATGGATGAAGACAACTTGTTATAGGGGAGAGAAATATATTCTAGCATACTAAGATTACCAAGGCCATCAGGTATGGAGCCAGAGAAGTTGTTGTTGTCAAGACTCAATTGTTGAAGGCTTCTAAGCATACCAATTTGGGTTGGGATGGGACCAGACATGATATTATTGGCGAGAGCAAGTACCTGGAGGTTCGCCAGTTTCACAACCGCTTCTGGGATCGGCTTGTTCAGTTTGTTGCCTGTGAGATATATGGTTTGCAGGCTAGTTAAATTTGATACACTTGCAGGAAGTCCACCAATTAAGTTGTTCTCACCTGCTACGAAAGTCACTAGTAGCTTGGAGAGGTTTCCAATATAATCTGGGAGACTCCCAGAGTAAGAATTGGACTCCATGTTGAGGTAACTGAGCTGTCTGCAATTCGAAAGAGCACCCAAAAATTCAAGGCCGCCCTCGAAGTGGTTCCATCCAAAACTAAGGCGTTGTAAAGAGCCAAGATTCCCAAATGCGAGTGGGATCGATCCATTCAACATATTTGTATCCAACATTAGGAAAGACAGGTCAGACAGATTACCAATGGAAGCAGGAACCAGACCTGTCAATTCATTATCTGAAAGTTCCAGATACTGAAGTTGTTTCATCTTCCCAAATTCTGGTAGGATTTGCCCTTCCAACTTGTTGTTTGAGAGATCAAGTTCCTGAAGCCCAGTGATATTGATTAACTGAATTGGGATCGACCCAAAAATGTTATTTCCACCTAAGGCAAGGGACCTGAGATTCGATAATTTGTCCATCCATGTTGGCACAACATCTGTAAAAGCATTTTCTGACAAAGAGATTATTTGCAGGAACTGACACGCGCTGAGCCCCACAGGAATCCTACCCACAAAGTTGTTCCAAGAGAGGGATAAAAACTGCAGCATTGGAAGACTGAAGCTTCCATTGCCAGGGATAGTTCCGGTCAGATTGTTGTTACTCACGAGGCTCAGAACTTGCAGGGCGGACTTATTGAAGGTGTCAGGAGGCACCGTGCCGGTGAGGTGATTATCTTGCAAGACAAGGATTTGAAGCATGGACAAGGATCCAATACCAACAGGTATGGGTCCCCATAGGCTGTTGTTGCCAAGGTTCAGATAGCTCAGGTAAGGCGTGTTGTTGAATACTTCTGGTATTTTGCCACTCAGGTGATTATTCTGGAGGTCTAAGCGCCTAAGATTTTGCAGGTCTTTCAGCTCATGTGGGATCAGCCCTGACAGACTGTTCTCCAGAAGAACAAGGCTCTCGAGCCTCGTGAGGTTCCCGACGGTGGCAGGGATGTAACCTGACAGGCTGTTCCAGGGAAGGGCAAGAACCCTGAGACGTTGCAGCCGTCCAAGCTCAGCTGGAATGGATCCCGTGAGGTTGGCGTTGGTGAGATTTAGGACGGAGAGGAAAGAGAGGTTACCGATGTGGGGAGAGATGCTCCCATGCAGGGGAGTGTTTGGCAGCGCCAGGGCGGTGACGCGCTCTCGGCGCTGGCTGCACGAGACGCCCAGCCAGTGGCAGAAGGACGTGCCGGGGGTCCAGTTGCCACGAAGAACGCCTAGAGGATCCGAGAGCTGTGCCCTGAACGCGAGCAGGGCGTCGAGGTCAGTGTCTGTGCCGTTGCTCCTGGAGGAAACGGCAGCCGCCGGCAGCACGGTGGCCAGTAATACGAGCTGAAGGAGATGGAGGGCCTTGTAGCTGGCGTGTTGCATTGTGCGCTGGGAACTCATGGAATCTGGGGCTTTTGAGCAATTGGTTCTGAATCGCCGCAGGTAACTGTCATGTATATATAACCGATCTGGCAGTACCGCTGGTCTACTCTTAGTCTAAAGCTAATATTGAATTATTGAACCATAATGCTCTTCATATAGAAACTAAATAAGGGCACTTTTCCAGTTTCCTGTCGAACAATAAGGTTGTTTCCTAGTTATTGCAAAGCATCAAACCTCCCGTGCTCTGCCTCTTTGTGATATTGGCGAATTATACAAATGCCCCTGATATATTTTCTGGAACAAAATGCCCCTGATTTTGGATGTTTGGCAGATCAGGGGAGGGGATTGTTCCATAGTTGTCTATTCATTATTATGATGACTTGCAGAGCGAAAATGGTAGGGGAGGGGGGCTGCAGTCACATGCTTCATCTTGTAGCGGTCATGGGTGTGAGGTCTGTCAAAATCAACGTTGCAAAGTAGTCTACACCGTCCGTGTTTGACCGGTATTAAGCAAGCAACACGTTTCCAGTCCGGAAATTCAGAGGTGAGATGACGCAAGAGGGCCAGATTGTAATACGTAATTTCCAGGCAGCTTCTCACATCACACCAATCCCGTTTACTTGACTATACTAGAGGATCAGCAACTCTCTTTTTTTTAATAACTGGCTTCATTAATATAAGGAATCAATTCCGTTTACTTGACTGATACTCCCTCCGTCCCGATATATAAGTCGTAACCACCTCTGGTTCAAAGACTTAGAAACACATTTAATTCTCTAGAGAGAGCACACATTATATTATGGGACATGAATAAAAAGTAGCTACGGCTTATATATTAGGACGGAGGGAGTGATAGAGGATCTCCTTTTTTTTATAACTGGTTTCATTAATATTAGGAAAGCGCTATATAACAGGCGTCTGAAACTAGCTTATTTTGTTCAGTTCCTTTTTACCATCCCGCCAACCCGACCTTCTCCCGCTAACTCCGTTAGGCCTCGCTTAGTTGCGTCGATTCGACACCGACAAAACACTGTAGCTTTTATTTTTATTTGATAATAATTGTCCAATCGTTGCCTAATTAGACTCAAAACGTTTGTCTCGCAAAGTACAATCAAATTGTGCAATTAATTTTTTATTTCGTCAACATTTCGTACTCTATGCATGTACCGTAAGTTTAATATGACGAGGAATCTTCTTTTTGCATAGTGCCAAAGTTTGGAATTGGGGGAACTAAACACCCTCTTAGTCGCAAAGCACTAGCAACCCACCCCAATCCATCCATCCTGAAATCGAGATAAAAAAACTGCAGCGTACTCCCACATATACACTTCATTTTGCAATCTCTATCCGACATATCAAAGATACGTAGAGGAGGAGAAAACAAATCTATAATGCCATACAGCCTCAGCTCATCTATTATACTGCTGGACAGGGAGGTTCAGGCCAACAGATCCCATCACAGAGAAGTGGCGCGTCTCCAAAACTCCGTTTGGTTCACTGAAGCCAAAAAGAAAACTTCGGAGACAACTATGTTTAAGGCCGAAGTAGCTTATGAAACTGCCGAGGGGTAACCAAACTCAGCGCGTGTTCAGTTCCACCCAAAATCCCAAAAAATGCTACAGTACCTATCACATCGAATGTTTGCAACCTGTGTATAGAGCATTAAATGTAGACGAAAAAAAATTAATTGCATAGTTTGGTGGAAAATTGCAAGACGAACGTTTTGAACCTAATTAGTCCATGTTTAAACACTAATTGCCAAATAAAAACGAACGTGCTACAGTAGCCCCAAATTCCAACTTACTGAAACTAAACACGCCCTCACTGAATTCCTAGCTACAATCAAGTGTAACACATTTTTCACAGACAAAGTGTTGGAACAAATTCTCACAGCACCTCCAACCAACCACGCAGTTTGTCCTTGGAACGAATCATGTGTAACAGCACAGGGAGGATCTAATCTTCATAATCTAAACCATCGTCGTCGTCTAGCTCGGAACTATCAACCCCACCCATCAGCGACAGGAAGACAAGAACTGCAACAAGTTGTGTGGCCAGGAAATACTTTGCTCTTCGCCTGAATTTCTTTTCCTCTTCTGTCCGTTCCTTCTTAGTTCTGGGTTTTGGCTTATAACCTAAAGATCAGGTCAATATAACAACATAAGGCAACAATCAGATGTCTGAAAACTGTCACGAGAATAAACAAAGCATGACCACCGAGACAACAGGTAAAAGAGACAGTGAAGTTCAAGAACTTGTTAGACCATCTTTATCAATTTTATTTTCTTTTTAATGAAGGGCGGGCCTGGTGCAAGCGGTAGAGTCTTACCGCCTGTGACCGGAAGGTCCCGGGTTCGAGTCGCGGTCTCATCGCATTGCACAGACGAGGATAATGCTTGCCACTAACACCCTTCCTCAGACCTCGCACGGAGCGGGAGCTCTCTACACTAGGTACACCCTTTTTTTGATACATTTTACTTCTTTCAAAAAATACAAAAATAAAAGTACGGTAGCCCCTTGGACTGGCCAAATCATACCAAACAATAAACAGATCATATAAAATCATTTTTTGCAAGAGAACTCATATCGTTATTCTGTCTAGGGGCACCATATGCTATCTATGCATATATTGGTTTTTCCACTCATCCTAATTAAATCATTGTTTGACACAGTTTCTTCCATGACAGCATTGTGATACAATGAAATTAAGGAAGCAACATACAGCTTGAGCAATCAGTGATCCAGGATTACATAAAGGATCTGTCCATTAAAATATTCTTTAGCACAGTTGTCACTTCACTTTGTAATGAAATGTAGTTTTATGTCCTAGACTCCTAGTTACTACAAGGAAGGTTAAGTCTTTCATTTATGTCCTAGACTCCTAGTTACTACAAGGAAGGGTAAGTCGTTCATGCACAAATGTTAAGAGTTAACTTCACAAAACTAGAGTTATATGCACCTAACTATCAAGGAACTACAGCTTTTGGGACCAGTTTCACAGAAGTTGTAGTTCCTTGACATTTGGCTGCAAATAATTACAGTTTTGTGAAACAGTCAATCACCAATGAGTAAACTGCAGACTGCAGAATTGCAGATTGAATTGAGTAAATAGTCCATTAAGTGAATATGATGGTAATTGGCAATAGCACATACATAATAAATAACTCAGACAAGCAGATCATAGACTCTTCATCTAACATGATTAAATTTTGAGTAACGCGTCCTTATATTAAATTCGACAGATTGATAGGCACTGAACAGGAAAATCATACTTTATAAGCTGGAATGGAAGGTCTGCCAGGTAGAGTAAAAATGGCATCATTCAGATTTTAATGTTCCCGACGACAGTTTATCCAACTAAGTATACATGCTACAACTAGCAATTTCTGAATTCTGAGCAGCAGGGTAAAGCGGACTGTTTGCTTACTTTGGTCAGAAGATGGTCTTCTCCTGGGGGTGGATGATGATGGACTAGGTGATGATCCTAATCCTGATGATGACGATGATGAGGTTTCCAGCAATTGGACCTTGTGATGCTCAGCAAATCTCACCAAGTTGTCATGCTTCTGCAAAGTGCCCCTCAGCACAGATGTATCCTAAGGCAGAAGTAAGATCAGAACATGCCCTGAAACTAACTATATAAACATAATTTGAGGATGCTTTGGATCATTTACTTGACAGATTTTGGCTTAGTGCTAGGAAACTCTTAATTAATAGCATAGAAAAAAAAACACTTGATCCCAATACTACTAACATCAGAAATTCAGAAGCATTCAAGATGTGAACTTTCAGGAGAATGTGCAAGTTCAATCAGGCATCTGTACTACAATCAATTTTCTATGCAACTAGATAGTTACTACTAACATCGGAAGTATTCAAAACGGGAAGTGGCACTTTCATGATAATGTGCAAGTGCAATCAGGCATCTGCGCTTCAATCAATTTTTCTATGCAACTAGATGAGTCAGTGTCTGCCATTCAGGTACACAACTAAGTATAGAGAGAAACTTACAGGCAACGCATTGAGGACAAAAAGAGCATGTCCAAGGAAAAGAGCATCAACATCTGTAGGGCTTCATAAATAGAAATTAAGAAATATCAGTGCTCCACATTTGGCATATCAGAACAAAAATCTAAGTGTCAGCAAGCATAAAAACCTAACACAAAGTACAGAGAAATATGCTGGATACAAGTTGATTGAAGTGTACCTGTTATCAAATAGAAAGACTTGATCCCCTAATCTGATAGATAATGAGTCATATGCAGCACTTGCCTTCCGGTATATCTGTTTAAATAGAAAATTGCATTAGAAGCTACTAGTGTGTCACCCGAAATGAAAAAAGGCTAGGAAAATAATAGGTAGGGAGTAGCAAACCTCCTCTTCTTTTTCTGCAGCATTGAGCTTTGTTATACCCAGTAGTTGCTTCACATGTCTAGTTTTCTTCCAATGGAGTATCTTTCCAATGGGCCAAGCGAGATCAGAGAAGTAGATATCATTTGCAATGCTTCCATCACTAACCACCCAGAGATCATACAGCAAAGCATCAGCAAGCCAGGTCGAAACCATGGCCTTCGTCTCTAGCACATCGGTGGATGAAACACTTGGGTGATTTGAGTTCAAGTCAACAATTTTTTCATCCTTGAGGTACTCAATCACGCCTCCTTTCTCGTTGTTGAAAGCCACGCAGTCCCCAAATTCAACATATGGTATGTGATCTGTGCAACAAAAAATTACGGTGTGAGAGCAAAGCAACCTTCTCGCTCGTAGCTCAACCCACGTAGAGGTCCCAGCACATCAATGCAGGAACCTTGCCACAAATATCTAGCAGTTTTGTTCTTCTAATAAGATTATTGATGGGGCAAAATAACATTATCTACCCGGACGAGCGGAGACGCCAGCAGCAAAGAGCATAGCGGAGCTAAGTAGATAGAGGATAATAGGATAGGACTACGCATGCGCGCGGGGAGCTCACCGGCGTCGGGGAAGTTGGTGTCGACGTGGATGTCGAAGGGAACCTGCGCCATGCGGAGGTAGAGGAACACGGGGAGGCAGGTAGGGCAGGCCGTAGGGAGCCCGAAGCAGGGCTTGCGCGCCACCAGCACCTTCCGCGCCGCCGCCTCCCACTCCGCGGCCGCCGCCGCCGCCGCCGATGCCATCGCCGAGAGGGTGGGCTGGGGGGTTTGCCTTGCGAAAGGGGTTTTTTTCCGCTTTCGATTCGAGAACGTAAAGGGTTTCTCGTGCTCTCTAAAAACTCAGGTGGGCTGAAAACTCGCCCGGCCCAGCTAAGGGCGTGATCGGAAGCCTGGACAGCTTTTCTACTAGGAATTCGGAATTCCTAGGAGTTCCTTTCTCCTTTTTTTTTTTAATAAAGGATAAAATATCCGGCTTCATCTATCCAAGGATAGAATCAGGCTAATTATTACAAACTCCAGACGCGTGCACAAAGTACGGTTACATGCAAAACAAACAGTCTCGCAACTAACAGAACAAGTAAAAAGTTCTTGACTAAACAAAACCAACATGTCTTTGTGAAAGCCATCCATTAGAACCGAAGAATTCTAGAGCCGACTTCTCAATGTGTTTAGCCACAGAGATCATTTGATCTTTCAGATCTTCATGCCGCTGCAAGTTGGCCCATTGACGTAGCCAGTGTGTCCCTCGGAACAGTACCTGCAAAAGAGATTTGGGTTTGCATTCGTCAAAAACTACCTCATTCCTTGTTAGCCATATTGCCCATTAGTAGTGTTGAATTACTGTTAATAACAATGTGTTATACTTTTGTTACCCAATTTATACCAATTAACAAACAGATCATCTATGTTCGTGGGAGGTGAAATTTCAAAAAGTATATGTATAGAAGTATACAAAAATTTGGCATAGAAGCAATCAAAAAGAGATGGTGAATTGACTCGAGAAATAGCGAAACAACACGACTTGTCTCAGCCCAATTTCTCCTAACCAAGTTATCTTTGGTTAGAATCACTCCTCTTTTAAATACCACATGAAAACTTTTAGTTTCATGGGGAGCTTCGTTGCCAAATATCTTGTAATACTCTCACCCCATTGTTAATTAATGCAAACATACATAGACTTGTTGTAAAAAATCCGAAGCCTTGAAGCCCCATACAAACGCATCCCTTTCCTGCAGTAAGTTTATTTGTTGTACAGAAGCAGCTATTCTATTCCAGTTTAATAAGTTCACACCCACCAATTTTCTGCGAAAAGAGATATTTAGTTCCGGGGAACTCAAAACTGTAGCAATAGTGTCATGTTTTCTTCTTACAATATTAAACAACGCCGGAAATTTATCCTTGAGAGGTTTATTGCCCAGCCAAGTATCAACCCAAAATCTAGTCTGTGACCCATCTTTGACATTAAAATGTCCTAACTTCAAGAAAGTATCTTTAATATTCATGAGGCTTCTCCAGAAATGCGAGTCCCTTGGTTTCTTTTCACAACTTCCTAGTGTCTTATTCTTAATATACTTATTTCTTAATAACTCTTGCCATAATCCGTCCTCATTTAATAACTTAAACAGCCACTTACTAAGCAAACATTTGTTTTGGACCTCTAAATTTTGTATCCCAAGACCTCCCTGGTCCTTAGGCTGACACATAATTTTCTATTTGACTAATCTATACTTCCTTTTATGATGGTCATTTTGCCAATAGAAACGAGACCTGAAACAATCAATTTTTTCTAATACTCCTTTCGGTAATTGAAAAAGGACATCATAAACATCGGTAAGCTAAGCTAAAGACCGAATTTATAAGGACTAATCGACCACCGATCGTTAGCAGTTTACCTTTCCACCCACTAAGTCTTTTCTCAATTCTCTCTTGATGCTCTTCCGGTCTTTATTATATAATTTCCTAAAATGCATAGGTAGCCCAGTGTAGCGAAATGGGTATTTACCAATGGCACATCCGAACAATTGCGAATAAAACTCTTCGTGATCTTTAGCTTTTCCAAAACAAAAGATTTCACTTTTGTGGAAGTTTATCTTTGCCGGATAGTTGTTCAAAAGTACTTAGCAATTTCATATTAAGCGCCTTTTCAACATCGTAGCTCATGAAGAGATTTGTGTCATCCGTGATCTTGAAGGATGGACAAACCATCTTGAATAAGATGGGGGATAACCCCTTCTATCTGCCCTGCCTCCTTTGCTCTGGCAATTAGTATGGCCAACATATCAACCACTATATTGAATAGTATGGGTGACATGGGATCACCTTGCCTAAGTCCTTTTTTAGTCTGAAAGTACGGCCCTAGTTGGTCATTAACTTTAATATTTACATTGCCTCCTTGTATAAAATTATGTACCCATTCACACCACTTTTGTGAAAAATCCTTCATCCTTAATGTTTGCTGTAAGAAGCTCCAATTTACTTTGTCATAAGTTTTTTCAAAATCTATTTTAAAAATCACACCGTCTTGTTTTTTAGTGTGTAGTTCATGTAACGTTTCATGTAGTATCACTGCACCCTCCATAATATTTCTTCCTGGTAAGAAAGCTGTCTGAGTCGGTCTTATTAATTTCTGAGCAATAGTAGTTAGTCTATTCGTTGCAACTTTTGTGAAATTTTTGAAAGAGACATTCAACAAACAGATGGGTCTGTATTGTTGAACAACTCTTGCATCTTTCTTTTTGGGCAACAATATAATGTTTCCAAAATTAAGACGATTAAGCGGTACTGTTCCATGATGAAAATCAGAGAACAAAGCCATCAAATCATCTTTAATTAAGCCCCAGAAAACTTGATAAAACTTCGGTGGAAAACCATCCGGTCCGGGCGCCTTATTGTGTTCCATTTGGAAAATTGCCGCTCTGACTTCCTCTTGTGTGAAAGGCTCTATCAAGAACTCATTTTCCAGATCAGAAACTTGAGGTATGTCCTCCGTCCGAGATTCATCTAGAGATATTAGAGAATCATCAGATGGGCCAAACAGGTTTCTGTAATAACTAGTAATATGCTCTTTAAGCTGAGCATCACCAGTTATAATACTATCACCATCCTCAAGCTGGAAAATACGAGTTTTTCTATGTCTACCATTGGCTAGCAAGTGATAATACTTTGTGTTCGCGTCACCTTCAAGAAGGTGTTTCACTTTAGCCCTTTGGTACCACTTGAGTTCCTCTTCTCTTAGTAACTCTGCAAGCCTTTCATTTAACACGTGCTTTAGATCTCGCTCTGAGTCATTGAGCATGGTATGTTCTGCTTTCTTATCTAGATCATCTAGTTTGTTTAAAAGTGTTGTTTTTTCTTTCTTATACTCGCCACTCACATGCTTCGCCCATCCTCTAAGATCTTGTGAAGTCTTCGATTTTCATTTGCCATCTCTCGATGGGTGAGCTCGAAACTAGAGTGTTCTGCCAAACCTCTGAAACCATCTCACAAAATCCGTCCCTTAACAACCAGCCTAATTCAAATTTGAACTGAGGTTGATAAGTTGAGGACGAGTCATTTGTAGAAAAAAGCAGAGGTGTATGATCAGAAATTTCTCTGGTTAGGCTATGTACAGTTGAATAAGAGTATTTTGACTCAAAATCTGTACATACTAACACCCTGTCTAATTTTTTCAAAGGTTTGGTTATTTGTGATTGTTAGCCTGTAAACTTTCTTCCTGACAACTCAATTTCTCTAAGATTTAAGGCATCAATTACTGCGTTGAACATAAAAGACCACCTGTCACTGTAATTTTCATTGTTTTTCTCGTCTGGTCTACGAATAATGTTAAAGTCACCACCTATAATAATAGGTAAGGTTTGCTTTGAACATACCCGAATCATCTCAGACAAGAAGTTTGACTTAAACTCCGCCTGGGCCGGACCATAAATTGAAATAAGATTAAATTTAAAATCATCTTCTTTGTGTCGTAGTTTAAAAGCGGATAAAAAATCCCTTCCTCAATTTCCCCAACGTCAAAGGTCAACAAATGAACGCCTAGAATCAAGCCACCGGATCTGCCATGTGGAGCCATACAGTGCCAAATAAAATCTCTACCAGCACAAATGGTGTTAAGAGTATTTTGTGGAAAGCTGGCTCTACCCGTTTCCGATAAGGCGATGAAATCTAGACTTTTTTCCTTTGTTAAGACAGACAAGAATCTGTATTTTTTACCATCCGCGAACCCATTACAATTCCAGAAAATTCCTTTCATCTTGAACAACTTTTATTACTTTTTTTCTTTTGCCTAGGGCGCCCTCTTTTACTTTGTGATACAGGGGTTTGTAAAATCACAGGATCACAACCCCCATCACCCAACCCTTCTGCAATTTCTAAACAAATATGGTTTAAAACTCCTAGATCTATATTGTCATCATTAGAACCAACAGTTGAGGTATCTTCTACTAAAACACAACTGTCCTCCCTTAGTTTAGTGTTCTCGGTCAATCTATTGTACTCAATGTCTTTCAGGGATTTTAAAGAATTAAAAATGTCATGGTCATTGCTACCTAAAACAACTCCTAAAGATTTTGTTGAACTAAGTAAAGAAGAATCATCTCGAGAAATAAAAGAGTGAGGTTGCTGCGTTTTACCTTTATCAGTCGCGGACTCGAGGTTCTTCTTTGCTTTAAGCTTAGCCGCCTTCTCGGTGGAATCCAGATCCACAGTCTCGGCATTCCTCTTGCTAGATCTCACTGGAGAGACTATCCCTTTGCTGAATTTTTTGTTAGAAGTCCCAGAGTCGGTCTGTGAAGGCAACCCAGTCGCTTTCCATGCTCCAATACCATCTAAAGCTCTAGCAGATTGGGAGAGGAGGACCCTTGGTTTGATGTTTGGCTTGTTGGTAGATACACCAATCTCCTCCAGCTTTGCCGCCCCGTTAGGAGCATTCTGCTGGCCATTAGGTGGAATCTCACCATTGCCATTACCAGGTGCTTTATCATCTACATCCATTTTTTCCTCTGGAATTCCCCCATTGGGGTTATCATCTTTTGGACCATCTCTCTTGGGGTCCTCCTCCTTAGGCTCCTCCTCCTTGGTAGAGTCCAAGTCAATGAGTTGTGGCTCACTAGCAAGGGTCTCTTCCTCCACACCAAACTGTAGCTCATAAACATAGTCCCCAATAACCACATCCACAAAATCTGGGATGAGTTTTGGGTTAAGCACTGCTACTTTCAACCTTGCCCTGCCAGTGTTCTTAGTAAAGACAGTGTCAACAGCCCGAGGGACACCCAGGATAGTTCCAATTGCCCAGATAACTGGAAACTCTTTGAACTCTCTGGGTAGTCCTCTAAACTGTACCCACACCTTGTCAATCTCGCATTTGTACACCTCATTATCAGTTCCTTTCTCAAACTGAATCCTGCCCTGAACTGCCTTTGCATCCATAGGGCCCCAATTAACCACCGTATCCAGTAGGTCAGCTGAAGGGAAATTAATGATAAAGGCACCAGTGCCTGTTGTCTGAATCTCCCATTTATGATTCTTGTTTGGTCGTAGTCTTTCCAGTTCTACTGCCAATTGCTGAACAGTAAAAGAACCTTCCAGAACACGTACCACAGCTTTTGTTTCATGAGCATTAACTTTTGGGTTATCAACCACTGGAATAAGATAGAAACCAAGGCCCTCCACGGCATATCCACAGAGAATAGCACTGGCATTTGTTTTTTTACTATTTGGGCACATCTTAGTTGAATGATCTCCATGACAAAGCTCGCAGCAAAGCACAACAGTACATTCATGAATTGTATGCCCTTTAGTGCGACAGCGATAGCAATACGGTTTGCCCTTATTTTTTTTTTTGCTCCTTGATCAGACGACTCTGGGATGTCTAACACATTACCTTTCGGCCCAGGAGCCGGTGGAACAGTCTCCTTGGAAAGTTCTAGAGCCTTCACGGACGTCGAATCCACCACCATCGCGGTGTCTGGCTCTGCCCTTGCCACCTGGTGCCCCCCCTCACCTTGCGCAGCCAGGTCGAGATGCAACCCGGCCTGTGCAACAGGAGGAGGGCCGCCACCAGCCTGCTGCTGCTGCTGGGGAAGGCCTCCATCGGCCAGCTGCTGAGGTTGCCCAGCGACACCCTGGTACTGAGGGTGGCCGCCAGCGGCCTGCTGCGGCTGTTGGGAGCCGGCCTGCTGAGGGAAGCCGCCACCAACTTGCTGCTGGAGATGGCCGGCACCAGCTGGCTGCTGCTCGGCATGCTGCTGCAAGTGGTAATCGCCACCGCCATAGTTGGGCAGTGGGCCCGTGTTTTGGCGATGCCCACGTCCAGCCCATGAACGACGACCACCGCCATAACCTCCTCCCAGCATATGGCCGACGTGGCGGCCCTTGATTGTAGCCGTACCCGTAGCCACCATATCCCCGTCCATTGCCACCATGTCCACGGTCACGGCCCCTAGGGTGGAAGTCACGCCCGTGGCCACGACCACCGAACCCTGGGGCAAAGCCGTTGAACCCTGGGATGAAAGGTGCGCCTCTACCTCCGGCTTTGTCACCATAACCACCGCCCGGACCCTGCGACGCCATCGGTGATCCCTCTCGTACCACTTGTGCAGAGGTGCGGCGTGGTGAGGAGGATCGTGCTTCTGGCGGCACAGTACGAGAGAGATACAAGGTTTTAGTCCCCGTACGAGAGAATAGCGCACACAACCCTTTACTGTGCCGAAAAGATTTTCCTGGCCCAAGTTCGATCCGATCTGGGACTGGACACCGGTTGTTTTTTCCTTTCAATGCTGCACCGTTCGCGTCACAACCGGAAACGACCGAGGAAGCCGCACGGATTGGCGAAAGGATACCGTGTGTTTCGTTTTTTTTTGGAATGGTCAGTGTGGTCTCATACGTTTTCCACCGGCTAGGCTAAGAGTTTTTTGCTGCATCTGACATGACAGGCTCTGAGAGACGTGTAGGCTACCAATCATGCCCCTAATGGCCCGTTGATCCATCACTTACGATTTGCGGAAGCCCTTGCCATGGCCCTCCTCTGCCCTTTCTCATGTGCTCGAGTGGGGCATTGTGTCCTCGGATAAGAGAAGCCAGAGCCTCCTATATAGGCTATTTGAATAGTGTTGCAGTGCCCCAAACCCCTCTTTCTAGCCCCTCTACATCTTAATAATCTATGCCCGCATGGAAACAATCTGATAGTGCATCTTAACAAAATCATATGTGAAACTAGGTGCATTAGTTTGGCTGGTGGTGATTGGTAATGGAGTATCATCGTGAGCTGCCCCTGATCCACCAGCCTTGTCATCATGAGCTCCCATTAAAAACGAAGGATGTTATGGAGAAAAAGTGAAGTCCTCATTATTACTATTGAGAGAGCCTCATTATCCGTTTGGGTTCCAGGGTTCAAGCTGGCTAAGGCCTAATTAAGGACATGCTCCCATGCCCCCTCTCCCCTAACATAAAGCTCCAAGATGCTTGACCATGAAACTGCTTTGCCATGCCTAGCCCATCAGGCTGGCCCAACATGAAAACAATCCAATGCGCAATTCCTAGATCGAGGTTGAAACATGTGGGGTAAACACGGCATGGCTTGTAAGCACCACAACGCATGGGGAGGTCGAAGGGGTGACTTGGGGGCTACTTGTCCTTGTGGGCAGCACGATAGACATATGCTTGCGAGTTAGAGGGGATGATAGGATAATAGACCTAATCAAACGTTGGATGGGGACAGAAAAAAGTGATCGGTTTAAAATCTTTAGCCTGAGCTCGACCCGCCGCATCGGCGAGTCGGGCTATTTCTCTAGTTCTTTCGGATTTTTCGTACTTTGAGTCGACTTTTTTGTGTTGGGTTGGGCCACGAGTCAAAAATCATGCCTCGATCGGATCCGATCCTTTGACGGATCAGGTTAAGTTATGTTCGTTTTTTAATGGGTTAGATCAGATGGCCCATAAACATATCTAATGGAGAAAAACCTCTAACGAGGCTTTTGACGATCTGCAAGTGCTTGGGTTTGCGGGCTGTTGGACACAGGCCCAAAAAACCCATATTGAATGGTTGGTACTTGGTAGATTAGTGGGTGACGTGGCCTCCCTCAGGCCGATCCGACGGGGAACACAACAGGTTACGCCTATGGAATCCAGTCCGGTAATTCTGTTTCATCCTCGCAGTTGAAGTTGAAGTCGAATTCCACGACCCCGTTTGGCCCGGCTGAAAACCACGAGAGATCCAACGGCCCACAAAGCAAAGCGGATGTACTGACGGTTCGGGTGGGCTAAAACCAGCCAGCGAGTCCCCTCCCCAGTTCTCACAAACGCAAACCCCAATCTCGCCGTCACCGCCCCAATCTTGCAAGCGCAAACCCCATCTCGCCGCCACCGCCACCGCCACGATGTCTCGCCGCTATGACAGCCGCACGACGATCTTCTCGCCGGAGGGGCGTCTCTACCAGGTGGAGTACGCGATGGAGGCGATCGGCAACGCCGGGTCGGCCCTCGGGATCCTGGCGGCCGACGGCGTGGTCCTGGTCGGCGAGAAGAAGGTGACCTCCAAGCTCCTCCAGACCTCCCGCTCCGCCGAGAAGATGTACAAGATCGACTCCCACCTGGCGTGCGCCGTGGCCGGGATCATGTCCGACGCCAACATCCTCATCAACACCGCCCGCCTCCACGCCCAGCGCTACGCGCTCTCCTACCAGGAGCCCATCCCCGTCGAGCAGCTCGTCCAGTCCCTCTGCGACACCAAGCAGGGGTACACCCAGTTCGGTGGCCTCCGCCCCTTCGGGGTCTCCTTCCTGTTCGCCGGGTGGGACAAGCACCACGGCTTCCAGCTCTACATGAGCGACCCATCTGGCAACTACGGCGGCTGGAAGGCCGCCGCTGTTGGGGCCAACAGCCAGGCCGCGCAGTCCATGCTCAAGCAGGACTACAAGGACGGCTTGACCCGCGAGGAGGCCGTCGCTCTTGCGCTCAAGGTCCTCAGCAAGACCATGGACTCCACCAGCTTGACTGCCGAGAAGCTGGAGCTGGCCGAGGTGTTTCTGCAGCCCGGCACCGGGGAGGTACAGTACCAGGTGTGCTCTCCTGAGGCCCTGGGGAAGCTGCTTGCAAAGTCTGGCCTGACACAGCCAACACCCGAGGCATAATGTTCTGGTTTGCTGTGGCTTGTGATGCTTAATACTGCTCTTAGACATGGTTTAAGCAGTTATGCTTCTGTTGTGTGAACCTAAACATTCAACGATTATGTGGTCTAATTTTATGTTGAGCATCCTTGATCTGTTAATGTTTCATCTGTAACAGTGGATTGCCTTGAACTGGTTGCAAATTGTTGATTTCTATCTGCTCTACTTGATTATTATCGCGATTAGGTAGCATGTGGTTCAATGGAACACGGAAAATTAGGTTCAGATGTGTGACAATTTAAGGCATCTGGATGATACCAACTGTGCTTAGAAACATGGCAAATTTTTGGAGTGCTTATGTGCTACAGTAACTATGACAGTTTAGGCCTCTGGATGATGCTACTGCTTTCATCAATTGTGCTCAGTAAACTAGGCAAAATAGTAGGGTATTCTATGTCTTTCAGATTATCTTTATGCTTCTGTGCTTGAATTGTTCTTTGCCATTAGGACTTACGGGTGACAGAGGGCAGTAGGATGACTTATGGCGACATAGGGCAGTGGAATGAAAATGTTAAGAACCATTTGTATGACCAGACCATGACAATACAATGCATCAGGATCATATAACTGTAAAGCCAAAAAAAAAAGAAACATGCTTCATATCACTGTTTTTGTCAACTGTGCTTAAAAACAGCTAATTTTTTTGTGGTGTTCTGTCTGATTCAGATTACCTGTATGGTTTGATGCCAACCATATGTTGAGCATTCAGTGTTATTTTTTAGGAGAGGTTCCAGTTATAGTTCTCTCACGACCAGACGATAACTTTTGTGGTTCGGTTGCAGCATTGTCTCGACAGCATTTTTCCATGATTAGCCACTCATTACATCATGACCCAAGCTTTTGATTCCCTCTTGAAAGATTATTTTGTACCTTGATTGACTAGAATTATTTGGTTAATATTTCATATCAATTGGTTATATCAAGTATCATCAGGACTCAAGAGTGTTGGTGTAATGGTCTGATGCATCTCAGTCAGTGCTAGTGATCTGCCTGACCACTTCTTGAAACCTTGGGCAACTCATTGCTGTGAACTTGAAATTCTGGTGCTACCACAATTTATTATTGCAGATTTCATCCAGTTTTTTGTTGCATAGTGTTCCTTGCTTATCACTTGACACTTGATGCCATCAGAGTATGGTGACTCCAATTTTTTGGCATATAAGTAAAATTTTATTCTCCTACATGTTCAACAGCTAAGTGTCGTGGAAATGCGTATGTTGCGTTGGATTTGCGGTCATACAAGAAGGGATCGAGTTCAGAACGATGATATACGTGATAGATTAGGGGTAGCGTCAATTGAAGAAAAGCTTGTCCAACACCGGTTGAGATGGTTTGGACATGTGCAACGGAGACCCTCAGAGGCACCGGTGCGTAGCGGAATCCTAAGTCAGGATAGTAACGTGAAGAGAGGCAGAGGAAGACCGAAGTTGACTTGGGTAGAGGCAATAAAAGGAGACTTGAAATGATGGAATATATCCAAAGACTTAGCCTTAGATAGGAGTGCTTGGAAGACAGCTATTCACGTGCCTGAACCTTGATTGCTTCCGATGGGTTTCAACTCTAGCCTATCCCAATTTGTTTGGGACTTAAAGGCTTTGTTGTTGTTGTCGTCGTCGTCGTCTAACTAGTTATATTTTTGCTTAAGGTACTCCCTCCATTCTAAATTGTAAGTCATTTTAGCTTTTCTAAATACAATAGTTTTTACAATGTATCTAGACACAATGTATATCTAGGTGCTATACGTAAAAACTATTTACCTAGAAAAGCCAAAACGACTTACAATTTAAAACGGATGGGGTACCAAATTGCAACAGTTAAGAGGTAAAATTGCATGTCTTTGGTCACAGGAACGGTTGAATCGTTGAATGTTTCGAATAGATTTTGCTTCAGTTTTGTGGTGTTCTTAACTTCCATCTTGTAGCTTTGTAGATTGTGGTATGTTTTTTTTTTCTTTTGGAAACCTGATATATGTGTATGCTTCATGATCGAATCATTTACTGTTTTCCAGCTGGATTTGTGATGTATCTGCAAGTTGTTGTGTTACTTGACTCTTTGCTTATCAATGTATTTCATATTGCCTAGTAGACAAGAAAATGCTTAAGTTTACGATAGTTTTGGTGATGGTAGGGTCGTGATCCATGAATAAGATTACCTAAAATGGTATTAATCCATTGAGTTTTTGTCGCAAGACATGTGCTGACTAGTCATAAACTCACAATTACCGTAAGTCGGGTGATGACTTGTTTACTTGGAACTGAACTCGACAAACTATAGTGAGAAAAAAGCACATCTTTAATCCACAGCTTTGTTTGGATGGTTTCCAAGGAGGGGCCATTTTGTGTGGAACTATTGAAATCAAATCACTTGTTGCTGTTACTCAAGCAGTTTATTTTGTGGAACTACTGAACAATCACTTACCATTACTCAGACAGTTTGTGTTAGGTCTATCCCATCCCGTTGTGGCTTCTTTCGCAATTGTAAAAATAAATAACATGAGTCGACAATTATGGTAGCCAATAAAAATCCAAAAGGTTGAACTGCAACATAACGTTCCGGCGGCCGTTTGCACAATACATACTTTCGCTTGTTTGTAAAGGAACTTAAGAAGCATGAAAGGGAACTTAGAAGAATTTCATGCAAAACAAATACAATGCACGCACAGATTCAGGGTAGAACTGCGACAGAGAACGCTCCAGAGGCCGTTTGCACAATACATACTTTTGCTTGTCTGTAAAGGAACTTATGAAGAATTTCATGCAAAACAAATACAGTGCAAGCACAGATTCCAAGGAAGTTCGATCAGCAAATAGGCAACACATGTAAAAAGCAAATACAGTATTAACACATGTAAAAAGCAAATAGGCAACACTTGTAAAATGTGAAGCTTCGGACGCACGGAAGTTAAATCCTCCCGACAAGAATGAGAAAACTGGATTAGTTTGATCAAAGAAATTTGCATATTATAGAAGTAGCAGAATGTCTAGATAATTTCCTGGGTTACAATCATCGTGAAACCAAACTGGAGACCTAAAATCAGACTCAGGCACATACAAAGGCAACTGTACATCGTGTCATCTTGGCTACGCTTGCAACCAACCTCAGCACACGAAACACCCACACGCACAGACAAAAAAACATGGGCCTATTCGCATGCCATGGAAATTGAAGAATCGGCTATATACATACATCAGACGAACTCCTCGATCCTCATGCCATTGAACGCTTCACAAGCGAAACCCATTTCCACCAAAGGTAGATAACAGATGAAGAGATCACCGCTGCGGCTATGCAAAGTGCAGCAATGCCCGCAACTACTCCTCTTCGCTTCTCGTCTTGTCGCGCAGAATCAGAACTTGGTGCTCGTGGGGGACTGATCGTCGGGTCTTGGGAACGGGTAACTGTGAAATCAAGCATTTCCTAGTCAGCTAATGGTTTTATATTATGCGAAAAATATGATGAGAGACCAACAGATGCTAGGGACATGTTCTGAAGCTACCTTTTATTGCTGACACCAGTGGTCCATAAGCTCCTTTATATGGGATACAGCAGGTGCCACGTCCACTCCAATACAGATGTATTTCCAATATGGAGTTGTTAACAGACACTTCCTGGGTGATGTTGGTGCCTTTTCTGGAACCCCCAGCTTCCTTAGTAATGTCAAAATCCTTCCTGATATTTTGATTCTGCAATTAATTGATAAAATAAATGTATGCTTTGTTTACTGGATATGCAAAAATCATTTTCCTCGTTAGGGATATATCAAACCTGAATATCAATGTCAAATAAGCGCCGTCCAGGTCCATCAGTTATGACTATCTCTGCAAAGAAGAGTTTGACTGTATATTTCCCGTTAACCAAACCTACCACATAGTACCGCAACGAGCTTGTTGACGTTCTTGCTGTTTTGTAGAGTTCTGGCATGACTGAGTCCAAAATATTGTCTATATTTACGATACCGGCAGATTTATTGAATGGATCAGAACCCACGTGACTGGTTACCCAATGACTGGTGGTGTTAACATTAAAGCCTGCTCCTCCAAGATCAGTTAAGTCTTCCGAGAACACAGTTGGCATTTGATCTGAATAATCAATTTGCTTGCCACCACAGTTTATGGAGAAAGTTGCATGATCTGCTGTATTATCAATTGATGATGTAAAGACTAAAAGTTGCACAAAATATGTTAAATACTATGGACTGAAAAATTCTGAGCACAACATTACAAGCAGCAGTGTCTGATACGTCATAACCGCGTAGATCAACATCATAATGGACAAATTTGCACTTTCTTAGCTGCATGCCCTAAATGTCAGTTTTCTTCTTTTGGCGCAAGTTTGCCTCAGCTGCAGCAATCAATTTCTTCACCACGAAAAGTATTGGCATGCTAGTGGCCTCAGAAATTTGGAAACACAGGAATGTCGTATTTTTAATGTGTAAATTCAAGTGCCATATCAATGTTGTAGACCATGGCAAATGAGAGTATCTTGTGGTGCTCGGCTGGAGCATTAGGGCTTCAAGAGTTTCTGGTCAGGTCGCTAATCATGGACAGGTGATTCCTGTCCTCAGGTTTGTTCAGGTCGCCTCTAGTTGGTAGCAGGCTGAAACCTGTATTTGTTGTTCAAAACACCTTCGATGTGCTGGGGTCGGGGGTCAGGAGTTCACTCCCTCTCCCTTGTACATTTTTTTATTTCTCTTAGGGCCCGTTTGGATCCCATGAATTGAAACCAATATCTAGAAAGTGCTTCTCATTTCATTATTAGATTATTTTCCAATTCCTCTAAATTCCTGGAAACCAAACAGGGCCTGAAATGGTACACAGTTCTCCTACGTGTTCAAGAAAAAAAAAAGCATGGCATGCAACACTTGCTTAAGGCTAGTTATGTAACACTTGGCATGATCCAAAAAGGCTCAGCAACACTCCATAAAACTTGCTGCAAATTTGCTCTCTGCATCTTTAATCTTTTGT